CATTTCTGTCAAGTCAAAACCAACTCATAGCTGAACTTCCAGAAGATCTTCAGAGCCTGTGAATTGCAAGGGGGGGTTGGAGATGGCCCATCTTCCTTCCTCAAAGTCACCAGTGGATTCCAAATACCAGAGACAGGCACCATCTTTGTGGTATCATTGCAATTTCTCACAGATTATGGAGCCATGCAGAGAGTTATCTGGGGACGCTTTCTAGATCACTCATATCAAGCTGCCTGTCCTGCAGATGGCACTGTTTAACTAGTTCTTGAACAAAAACCTCAGACTCCCTGCCATCAGACTGGTGTGGACTCCAGCAAGTGAATGTTAAGGGGAGAAGACAGCCTACCTAGCTCCCACTGAACAACTGGTAGATTCAAACTACTGTCTTTCTGGTTGGCAGCCTGACAGGTTAGGCATTACACCACCAGGTCACTTTTATTTAAGTAAGTGTTTGACAATTTGCCACAGAAGGTCAAAGACTATAGTCTTCAATATGGACGAAGTTCAACATCAAGAAAGCAAACATTCTCACCACTGGGTCAATTGGCAGCAATGAAATAGAGAGAGGAGAGATTGTGATTGTTAACAATTTCAGCCTGCTCAGTTCCAAAATTAACACTCTTCACACCAACAGTCAGGAAATTAAAAGATGAATTGCACTGGAAAAAATCTGCTGTCAGGAATTTCTCCAGTGTGCTGAAGATCAATGATGTCTAGAGACTAAGTCGTGCCTGATCTATGCCATGGTCTTTATAATTACTTGCTATGCTTCAGAGAGCTGGACAATGAACAAGGATGACAAAAGAATAATCAGTGCCTTTGAGCTGGACAAGAGTATTGAACATAGCATGGAGCACTGAGAGAACAAACAGGTCCATCCTGGAGAGGGTAAAACCAAGCTGCTCCTCTGAGGCAAGGATTTTGAAGCTCTGTCTCACATATTTTAGGCATGTTTCCAGGAAGGACTAGTCCTTGGAAAAGGACATCATGCTTGGAAAAGGAAGGGTGGGCAACAGCTCAGGAGAGGAAGACCCTGGCTGAGATGGATTGACAGAGTGACTGGGACAATGGGGACATATGTATTTGAGACAAATTGACTCAGGATAAGAGCAGGGTTCAGAGCTACTGTTCATAGGGTTGCTATGAGTCGTAATCGGTGGGAAGCCAAATTTCAAACCAAATATTATATGATAAGCCATATGCTTAGTCATGAATTAAAGGAATCACAAAATTATAAGTCGGACTTTCTCTTGGGACAGATCACAGGAAATAAGCTGTTTTCTGCAGACAAGAGACAGCTAGGGTTCCCCTGCAAAGGGAGTGTTAACATGTGTGTAATACTTCCTTCCTGAGCTAAGCATTAGGTTGAAAATAGAGGAAAAAGTCAGCCTCATTTATAGGAGAATTCTTTTTAATGATTTGCTTTCCCTGATTCTCCATAAATACGCAGAGAGGCATGGCTTGTGAACTATTGGCCCCTGTATTTATGCTGTTTGCTTATACATTCTTGGTGTTCCGTCTCATTAATAATTATTAATATACTTTACCCTCGGTCTGCAGCAGTAGTTGACTTGATAGCACATGGCAACATATGGTTTGTCTCAGTAAAAGAATTTTCAAGTTGGAGTAGTTGATGTAGTTGAAAATTAGAGTCAATGAAAAGGGGGAGCTGATGCTCAAATAATTATTAAATATTTTAAAATTTAAGTAAACTTATTTTATTAATTTTAATAAAAGTTTACAGAGACTTAGGGTTTCCAGTCATTCATTGTTGCACTTTTCTCCTTGCCCTTTCCCTCCCCTCCAATTCACTTTTCTCCTTGAAAAGAAAAAGAAAAACTCTTTCATTGTTGTGCATCCCTCTCTCGAAGTCCACTCCATTATGCAACCTTCATTCTGGACTCCTGTCATGACAATAATACCCAGTCATATATCCCTTTTAAACAGTTCTCTCCTTCATCTGTTTCAATGTAGTATACATCATTCCTCCCCTCCTTCTCTGTCTTCCTTTAACCCCGATCTCAGTCCCGTTTTACAACAGTGGCCTTATGCAAAATTTTCTTTTTGTGACTGAGATATTTCATCAGCATAATGTCCTCCAGGGTCATCCATTTTGCATAATATTTCATTAGTTCCTTGTTTTTCAGTGCTGCATAGTATTCCATTGTGTGAAAATACCACAGCTTTTCTGTCCATTCGTTTGTTGATGGGCACTTGGGTTGTATCCAGCTCTTTGTTGTTGCGAACAAAGCCGCAATAAACATGGGTGTGCAGAAGTAAACATTTTTTTTAAAAAAAACAAAATAAGGCCTACATGTTCCTTGCTCAGGTGGTGTCATCTACAGGGTATATGTTGTGTTGCTAACCAAAGGGCTGTATCTCCAGCCACATAGGAAACAGATATTAGCCAAGGGTCTGGAAGATAACTGCTTGTTCCTGTTTCCAAAAAAGGAAAGCCAGGAGCTTGCAGAAATTATAGAACAATATCATTAACATTATACACAAGCACAATCTTGTTGAAAATTATTTGAAAACAACTAGAACAGTGTAGACAGGGACTTGTCAGGACTTCGAGCTGGATTCAGAAGAGGCCATGAAATGAAGATATGCATTGCTGAAGTCAAACTTTGACTCAAAGTAGAAAATATCGGGCAGATGTTTACTTGTGCTTTATTGAATATTAAAAAGCATTATGACTCTGGGTCATTATAAATTATGGACAACATTGAGAAGAATTCTAGAACACTTGACTGTGCTCATGAGGAAACAGTACATAGACCAAGAAGCAGTCTTTTGACCAGAACAAGGAGAGAGGGGCAAGGATTAAAATCAGAAAAGGTATGCATCAGGGTTGTATCCTCTCACCATACCTATTCAGTTTATATTGTGAGAATAATATAAAGAATAGTTTAGCACCCGATTGGTGAAAGACTTTGCAACAACCTTTGATATACAGATGACACAACCTTGCTTGCTGAAAGCAAAGAAGACTTGAAGTAGTTACTGAAGAAGATCAAAGATTATAAACTTCAGTATGGATTATATCTAATTCAACATTGTTGTTGTTGTTGTTGTTGTTATGTGCCATCAAGTCGCCTGTGACTTATAGTGACCCTATGTACAACAGCCTTAAAATCTGCTCTATCCTGAACCAACCTTATTGTCTCTGACACACCTACCACCTTTACCCCAGTCAATGAATCAATCCATCTCATTGAGGGTCTTCCACTTTTGCACTGTCCCTCCACCTTCCCAAGCATAATGTCCCTCTCCCAGCACTGGTCCCACCTTGCAACATGTCCAGAGTATGTCCAATGAAGCTTCAGAATCCTTTCCTCCAAGGAGCAGCCTGGCTTCGTCCTCTCTAGGACGAACTTATTTGTTCTCTTAGAAGTCCATGATATATTCCATACTCTTCTCCAACACCACAGCTCAAAGGCATCGTTTCTCCTTCTATCAACCCTAGTCATCAGCCAGCTCTCCAATGCATAGCAAGTAATTACAAAGACCATGCCCGGTATCAGGCGCACTTTAATCTCCAGACTGACATCGTTGCTCGTCAGTACTTTGGAGAGGCTTCTGACAGCAGACTTTCCCAGTGCAATTCATTTTTTAATTTTCTGGCTGCTGGTACCAAGAGTGTTGATTGTAAAGCCAAGCAAACTAAACCCATTAATAATCTCAATCTCTCCACCATCTATCACGATGCTGCCAATCATCCCAGTGGTGAGAATCTTTGTTTTCTTGATATTGAGCTTCAATCCATATTGAAGGCTGTAGTCCTTGACCTTCTGCAGCACGTGCTTCGGGTCCTCCTCAGTTTCAGCAAGCACGACTGTGTCGTCTGCAGAAGGTTACAGTTAGAATACAAAAACCCTCACAACTGTGCCAATAAGCAATATCCTCAGAGATGAAGAAGATCCAATTTGTCAAAGATTTCACTTTTCAATCAACACCTATGTACGGAATAATGAAGAACTCAAAAGATGTGCTGCATTGGGCAAATCTCTCGCCAAGACCTCTTTGAAGTGCTAACGAGCAAGGATATCAGTTAAAGACAAAAGCATATCTGATTTGAGCCAAGGTATTTCCACACACAGGAAAGCAATGCAGTCTGTGGTCTGCTGTAAGCTCAAGTCCTCTTCACTTTCAGCAAGAAATGTTGTGTCATCCGCATAACCCGTGTTGCTGATGAGTGTTACTCCAATTGTTTCCACATTCTTCTTCATAAAGTCCAGTTGCTCAGATCACTTGCATACATGTATATGAATAGGTATGATTAGCCCTGGTGCACGACTTTTCTCATTTTAAACAATTCATGTTTTAAAGCCTTGTTCTGTTCTTGGTTCATAGAACCAACCATACAATGGATACAATTCAGATACACAGATGAATGATATATATTATAAAATGGATAAAACTTGAAAGCAGTATGCTTAATGAAAGGAGTCATCCACAGAAGTCCATGTTACTTTTTAAATTACATTAAAAATTTTAAAAACAACATGAAAATCCACAGAGACAGAAAGTAGAATCGTAGTTGCATAGGGCTCAATGTTGAGTCCCTCCCTGTGTGGTACCAGTGGCTACTCACTGAATAATTGGAACTTTAAGTCCCCCCAGAGGTGCCTCGAAAGACAAGTCCTGAAAAGACCCCGGACATGGACAATCCTAGGATGGACAGTTTTTTCCTCAGAAACAGTTGGCTATTACTCACCTAATCTGTGTTCACTGGACTAAGCACCAGTAAGGAACAAGAACTGTAAAGTTTTGAGACAAGGAATTAAAATCATTTCCTCATCCTCCCTACCTACATCTCTATCTTGTTCTTTCTTGTTTATCATATTACCTGACAAACACACTTGGCCACACCCCTCTGACATTTCTCAATATTTTCATGAGTGAAAGAAGCTGAGATAACCTGAAGGAGGAGCTTACGTTCCTCTATGGCCAATAAATTGCCAAGCAGGTAACCACTGTCCGAGCACGACACTGGAGAGATGAGACAAATGCCCCAGCTGCCCCTACTGGGGCTCCTTCTGGCTTCCCTTCTTCCAAGCCAACTATGCAAGATCTGTGGTGAGTACTCTCTGCACTAAAACTACTGCATTATCACACACTCCTTCCTGATGGCTACGAACAGGGAACTCTGCTTAGAATTACATTTTAAAGGGCCCTGATCCAGTTCTGTACATGGTGGGATGCTATGAATGATGTAGACAAAACATGGTGGGATAAGTCCCATAATGGATGTGTTAAGAGGGCTTGAAGACTCAACATTAACTTGACAGATGGGTCTTCCTGTATTCAACTCCCCTCTACATAAAGACAAACTTTCTTCTTATATTCAACTCCTCTGTACATATCGAATAGCTAGGTCTTCTCAGAGGTTTTCCAAAATCATGGAAACGTACCTGTCAATTTGAGTTGCAATCTACTTTTAAGTTTGACTCAGGGTTTTAGGCTAACCCCTTGTAACCACACAGGAGAAGAAAAGAGAAAATCCTTTTCAAGTTAATACAGGTGCTTCTATTGTCATTATTGAATTTAGATGTCACAAATTGCGTATCACTCTTCCTTCAACTCATTCCTTTTACAAGACATAGGTAAAATTATTTTCTCTTCCCTCTGAATATTAGCTCTAAATATTATTATTATTATTAAATATAATTATATCATATAATAATATTAAATACTAGTAATAACATTACTATTAGACGGCTGGCAATTCAAATACATTAGCCACTCCATAGAAAGATACTTCCACAACGGTTTAGTCATGGAATTGCTAATGCAGCAGGTAGGCTTTGTTATGGAGAATCAGTAGAGTCAGAATCAACTGGGCGACAGTGGGATTTGATATTAAAGAATATGAAACTAAAAATGTTTAGGTCTTGCTTGTATCCTTGGTCTCTGTAGAGCCTAGTGTTTCTGAACTTCTCTAGCTTCTTCCAGAAAATAAGGAGGATATGGGCAGGTGATCAAAGAAGATGGTCTCCTGAAGTCCGGTGTAGCTCTCAGCTCCATGAATCCTCTCCTGTGAGTCTCTTTCCTGGAATTACAAATGAGTCCAAGACGACTGGCGGTGTCATTGTGACTGTAGGTCCCTGGCACTCAGTGGCCAAGAACAAGAAGAGGTTAACAGTTCAGAAGGCAGATCTGTGTTAACACAGATTGAGCCTCAGAATCATCCAACTTCAATTTCTCTTTCTGTCATTTCCTCTCTTGTTTCCTGAGAACTAGAGGTTCTTGGGAGGCTTTAAAGATCAATCCGTTGTAGAAAAGTGATGACGTTTGTCTTTAGTGGTCAAGGAAGTTGATCTGAATTGCTGAACAGGAACTAAACAGACTGTTTTAGTGCCAAAAAGCTTGGCTCCCACACAACCCTCAGAGTTGACTCATAAGAGGTCCATTGTGCCTGTAAAACCATGAGCTTTCTACAAATGCTCCTTTCAGATCATCTTAATCCTTTCTTCTAAAGTGAAGAGAGATGGGTGAGAGAAATCATATTTCCTGAAATGTCATAATAGAGACTCCATTTTGAGTTGAAGGTAATAAAATGTGCAACATTCTATGGTTTATTAAGGGGTTTCTTAGCTAATACCTGTGATGTTTATGTTGATACCCATAATTTCAGAACAAAGCAGCTGAGAGCCAGGTTAAGTTGTATCATTTACTTAAGTAAAGTCATATAATGAGGAGCCTAAAATCTAGGGAAGTCTGTCTAAACTCATGAGGAAATCTGGAGATGAGTAGAATTTGATGCTACTTCTCCAACTGCAGAGAAAAGAGCAAAGATATCAATGTAAAGACTAAGGTACATCTAATCCAAGCTGTGGGAACTCCAACTAAGGTGCACCTCCTGCAAGCTGTGGTAGCTTTAACTGCTTCTCACCATCTGAATATTAGACAAAGAATAAGGGAGACTAAGAAAGAACCAATGGCTTTGAACTGTGGCACTGGAGAAGGGTACCGAATATACCAAGAACTGTCAAAAGAACAAGTAAATCTGTCTTGGAGAAAGTGTAATCAGGGGCTCCTCACAAGCAAGGATGGCGAGGGTTTATCTTACATATTTTGGGCGTGTCTTCAAAGGGGCCAGTCCTTGGGAAAGGATCGGGAAGGGTAAAGGGTCAGAAAAAGAAATGAAGGTCACGGAGAGAGGGCGTGCTGCAGTAACAGTGACTACAGTGGTGGCCTTGAGCGTGGTGGACGTTATGAGGATGGCGTAGATGAGACAGGATTTGGGTTTGTTGTTCAGAGAGTCACAAGACTGGGAGACACCTAACACCAACCAGTCAGACTACAGACAAAATAGATGTAGAAATAGTCCAATGGTTTAAGTGATAAGCAGCTCTTCTTAATCTCCTCCAGTTCCTAGGGCCACCGGATTTTCTTTCTACTTCCACATAAGAACAGAGACTTCTCTCCATCCTCCTTCCTGAGATTTGGATATTTGTAAACTAAAACCAGAGTGTTTCTCAAGGCTGCATGCTGTTGAATAATTACTTTGGGACTGGGCTAGTTGGGCAAGCAATGTGGTTTTGGGGTCAACCACCAATGTCACAGAGCATCTCTGCCTGCATCTCCTCAGTATTAACCCAACTGAGTTAGGGGAGGGCAGAGAAAGAAAAGACTCTAGACTAAGACTCAAAAGACACCTAGGCTAATGTCAGCAAAGCCTCTATCAAGGTTTCCTTACAGATACGTTTTCTCAACTTCATTTTCAAAAATAGAAGATGATTATCTTCCAGGCAAAGCTGATATTCCCCCATATTTAATAATAAAGTGGTACCAGTTGTTCAACTATTAAAACACTTAAAGGATCTAACCATTGTTAAACCCCCCTGAATAGGAGATGAGAAATGACTGGCACTGTCCAAGCTCCACATCCCACTCTCCTACTGTTCTGTCAATATAGCCACTGAGCTGCCTATGCCCATGTAATACCTATTACTGGATATCTTCCTTTCATCCCTGCCTGTAGCTTTACTAGTCTCCATGTGTACACCTCTTATTCCCCCCGCTACAGATGTAAGTGAAGACAATCCACCCTGGCTGAACCATCTGCTGAACACAATGATCAATTCAAAATATACTAGTGGAATCCAAGCAGCCAATGTTCTGCTGTCCCTGAGACTGGCTGGGTTCCAGATCCAAAACCTGGAGCAGAAGCTGATCCAAGAAATCAAAGACAGTGTGGTAAGGAAAGGTGAGTATCCACATTCTCTGAGACGCTTAGGAAACACTCCACCAATGGAAAACACTTCGTCCAGCAAATACTGTGTTGACTAAATATCTATATACATATTCATTCTCTCTCTCTCTCTCTCTCTCTCTCTCTCTCACACACACACACACACACACACACACACAGAGCGAGAGCACAAGAAAATTCTAAAAGAGTACTTTGTCAAACTAACTAAGTATTTTTCTTTTCAGGGAATGAGTTAAGCTCCGGACAACTTGCATGGACTATAATGGCTTTGAGAGCATGCCGTAACCCTGATGAAACCTTTGTGTCTGATTCTAATCTGCTCCAGCGTCTACAAGAGAAATTTCAAGATGAAATTAAAAACATGGGTGAGAATCAAAATTTCAGATATGCCAGGTCACTTTTTTCTTCTTCCCTACTAGTGATTAGTCAGGGCCAGTGCCTGAAAATGGTCACCATGCTCGGGAAGTAGAGGGTCAGCAAAAAAAAGAGGAAGATTTTCAACTGTAAGGACTGACACAGCCATGAGTGTGAGGGTGGGGCACGTTCAGGCGGTGTTTTGTTTCCCTATACATGTTCCTGTTGTTATGTACCATTGATGTACAACAGCTCTGAAGCCTGCGCTGTCCTGAGTCAGTCTCACTGACTCCAACACCTGTACCCCCATTGCCCCAGTTACTGTATCAATCGTCTCCCCCAGGGTCTTCCTCTCCTTTCACTCCTTCATGTGCCTCTTCATTCCTTCCACGCTACTATGTTTCTGTAGGTCACATCTCCTTCCTCCCTCTTAAAACAGCATCTTGAACTTTTTTTTCAGAGTTTCCAACTGAACCTATCCCCAATATAACTATATATCTCATCTAAGTGGTTGTTGTAATTGTTAGATGCTGTCCAGTCGAGTACAACTCATAGTGACCCTATGAACCCCGCCCTATCCTGTGCCACCTTCACAACCTGACATGCTTGAGCCCATTGCTTTTGTCACTGCATCAGTCCATCTCATTGGACGCCTTCCTTTCTTCTGCTGACCTTCCACCTTTCCAAGCACGAGGTCCCCCTCCGAGGAATAGCCTCTCCTGGAAACGTGTCCAAAGTATGAAAGAGGAAGCTTCACCATTTTTGCCTCCAAACAGCACTCTGGCTGCGCCTTCTCCAAGACATTCCTGTTTGTTCTTTCTCCGCGGCATATTCAGTACTCTTTTCCAACAGCATAGTTCAAGGGCATCAATTCTTCTCCTGTCATCCTCATTCAATGTCCAGCTCTCAGACGAATAGCAAGAACATCTAATGGAGGGAACACATATATATGCCCTATGTTTTTGTGTTGTTCTTATGGGCCATTGAGTCTATCTGGACTCATAGTGACCCTAAAATAATGACTCAGAGCCCTGCCCTATCCTAAGCCAACTCCACCATCTCTGACACACCTAACCCCATAGCCACAGCCACTGCATAAATCCATCTCACCCAGGGTTTCCCTCACCTGTACTGACCCTCTACCCTTCCAACAATGATGTCCTTAAAAAAATAGCGGGGAAATACAGTTTTTAAAAAAAATGAGGGCACTCCGGTGGCCTAGTGGCAAGAAGCTGCACTGTAATCCCAGAGGTGCACAGTTTGAATTCACCAGATGCTCTGCTGGAGAAGAAGGGGCAATCTCCTCCTGTACCAGTCAGATATGATTTGACAGTACATGCATACACACACACACACACACACACACACACACACATACACACACACTCACAAAATGATAATATCTTTCTTCAATGACTAGTCCCTCCTGGAAACATGC